CTAATGCGGCTCGTGATTCCCCGCAAGCGCGCAATTGTTAGATCTCCACTTGGCCACATGGATATGGGCCCTTGCTTTCGGCCCATTTGCATATCCGGAGAGAGAGTCTATCTGTGGGCTGCACCTCCCCCGGGAATTAGTCTGGACCCCTCCATAGGTCTGGGATTCCCCTGAGTTATAAAAAAAAAAAAAAACTCAGTTTAGTATTTTACTCAAATCTACCACGTAGGCTTCGAACCGTTTTACCCAAATTACCTTATACTATCTATCTGACACATTAACCGTTTGTCGATCTGGTAAGTATTAATTAATTCTAACTCTTCTTTATAACTATGACAAATAAACAACTCATTAGTTAGTTTAAAGAAAACAAAAACGTCGTCAGTTTCCTTTTGTTTATATATAATAAAAAAACTTTTCACTATTTTGTAGTTGATAAATAAATAAAATTCCTTCAGGACATTATCAAATTCAGAATGCATCCGATGATTACTAAAATTAAGAAGAAGTTTTCGGATTGCACGCGGGAACTCTAATTGATTAGTGATGTTTGAAAATTATAAGTAATTAACATATAAAATGTTATATATGTAACATACTATATAGTTCTTAGTTAGCCAAGTGTTATTTATAGTAATTAACGTATAAAATGTTATATATGTTACATAATGGTTTCAAAAGTTTAGAATCTCTCTTTATCAAAAAAAAAAAAAAGTTTAGAATCTCTAGTTCTTAGTTTAATAAATGTGTGCTATGATGTATGAAATATGAATTAAGGTCAGTGGTAATTCTGTTTTTCTAATGTCGTCATTGGTATTCTTCAGTTTTTTTTTATGGCTAATATGTTCTTCATATAAATCTTTTTTTTTTTTTTTTTTTTTTTTTTTTTTTTTTTTTTTTTAACACCTTCTTCATATAAATCTAATTTCTCATTTTTTTTAAACAAAGAACCATCGGAGCTTCCATACCAAACCATGTGCGAGTTAGATGAAGAATTTATTGCAGTTTGAACTAAAAAGCCGTCATTCATTATCAAACCTATTATGTCCTAAATGCAATAATACTGAATAAATAGAGACCACTTGTACGTACTTATCCTCCAATAAGATATTGCTACATGCCATTCCCAAACACGAATGGCACTGCTTCTGTTTTCTCTTTTGACAAACTTTGGAGTGTATGTTTAAAGAACTTAATTAGCCGCTTTTGTCCAAGAAAATAGCACAAGAAGCAAGAAACAATGAAATATTTTTGCAAGTAAGAATCAACAAAGAGACATAGAGTAAGACTTCAAAAATTATAAAATCAATAAGTAGACATATATATTACATAAAATATTGTCTAAGAAAAACATAACTTTCAATAAGGTTAATACGATCCAACCCTAATGTTTCTTGTTTTTTTCCCAAGACGGCAGGTGCAGCGATGGGAGACCTACCTATACTCCCTACACTCTTAGGTTGTTGAAGAAAATAAATTACTGTAAGCATTGTCTGTTTAACAAATTAGATTGGTTAGGGTCAAAATTCTAAACCTGCATATTTTAGTAGGGTCGACCAAATTGAATTAAATGACGGTGCTAAAACAAAAATCAAAGTAAGCGCTTGGACTTTGGAGTAATTAATAGGAGGTTGGAGTAATGAATAAATAATTGAAAGAGATTGGTGTCTACTTAAAATAAATCCACATCCCGATTTGCTCGTTCACACTCGATCGACGCGACGTGAAAGAATTAGGGTTTTATAAAAGGAAAAAAAAAATAACCAAAAAAGAATGAAAGAGAAAAAACAAACAAAAGAACAAAACATTAGTATATGTAATTAATGTGGAGCAAAACTCTATGAATAATGTCGCTACTCTAGGTTTTTTTTAATGCTGCTTTTTTTTTTTTTTTTTTTTTTTCCTTCTAAAAACTTTTATTAAACAATGGGTATTACAACCATACAATGCCAATACAAAACTTTACAGAAGCAATTTATTACATAAGCAAATTTATGAGCCATATGTTGAAGATGACATAATCGAAGAAGTGAATTTAACGATGCTTCTTTTCCATAAGCCTTACTCGCAATCATGTTACAATACATGATATGTTCCTTCTTTAAAAGCCATCTTACTCGAGTGTGATACAGATGCCTTATTGGCATTCTTTGTTTGAAACTCCACATGACATAGAATAAACCCGTTGCTCCTGTAATGAGTTTTATAATCTCGACATTCCGATACCAATTAGTCCATATCGGTGCCATTTCACGAAGCAAAAAGTTTGGCTTGATACCGGTGTAAGCCCATCCTATTGTACATTCCACACCATAGACGTCGTTGGAGATCTTCACGACAAATGCCTTCGATGTAATTCCGGGATCCCATATGCATCGAGGATTGCAAATTTTCACTAAATCGTTGTCGACAATTATTGTCTCCAGATCGAAAACGCCGAGCATACCCGGAAAAACACCGTGAATGAACCACATAATCATCACACGGACAAGTACTCCTCTGGAAGGAGGAGAGAAAATCCTAACAACGAAAAACGTAATGACGTCGGCCACCGTCGTGGAGACCAAAAGTTGAAACAAACCCAACCATGAATTTGTTAACAAAGACATCATCATCTCTAAATTTTCATGTCCTTCGCTGCCAGACAAACCCATCACTATCACTAAGACAAGATAGCCGTGACTTACCCGACGAAACAGAGAGACTTGTTGGGATTCATGCATGAGAAGACTTGCGACATCCATGGCTGCATAGCCCATAGCCGTAGACAACCCCACACTTCTATTTGTTATCAAAAACTCCATCAAACCTAAAAGCCTATCTCCTACGCCGCCACACCAGACCATTTTTGTCCAGAGAAGATCAATGTTGTTGCCAATGGAATTAAGAACAACGAGAACCAAATGGAATCTCCAACGTAATTGACGGCCATGAAAATCACCAACAGATGTGAAAAGGGGCCAACCAAGAGCAGTTGATTCTCGAATACCCATTATTGATAACTGAAATCTATGTATGTAAACTAGTAATTGTTAAATTTATGAAGAGGAAAGAGTACAACCGACGTCGGAGCCGACGCCGGTCGGTCGGAGAAATCACAGAAGAAAAGTCGTATCAATCGCTTTTTCTATCGCCCCTCTTCTCTTCGTGTATATCATTTTAAATTTAAAATAATAGTTTAGTTTTTTCTATTTGAGAAAATGATGTGATTACAAAAGAAACAAATCTAGTGGTTTTTCTCTCATCTATAACTTTTGTATGTGTTCTCTAGATCCCTAAAATTGTTTAGGGTTGTACAAACTTTTCATAGTAGTAATATGTTTTCTAGAGTCCTACCAAAAAAAAAATATGTTCTCTAGAGCCCTAAAATTAAACTAATTTTGTTTTTTGATATTTCTTTTCATTTGAGTAATGAAATCTGATACCACTTATACAGTTGTGATCTTGACAAAACTATTTCGATTGTGAACCGCAACCTTTAAACACGAACCAACTGATTTCTACAGCCCACTAAATTTAATTTAAGGCCCATTAAAGGCCTCATAACATTTTGATATGGTTTTTCGAAAGAATAATCTTAACCAAATTCGAGAAGTTACGCGTCCTACTTTTCCCCTTCATATCTCTCTCTCTATTTTACCCCTTTTTCTCTCCGTTATCCGCTTTTTCCTCCTCCGCCGATCTACGGCGGCGTAATCTTTCTCCGATCTCCGCCGATCTTCGTAATCCTTTTCTCTGTCTCCGCTCTATCTATGCCGTCGCCGATACGCTCAGATATTAACCCGGCGACGTCTTTATTCTACCTCCGATCGCTTTTTTTATTTAATTCTCTTTGAATTTTTTATTTTATTTTAAAATTCTGAATTTTAAAAGTTTTTTATTTTATTTTTTTGTCCGTATCCGCTTATTTTTCGCGACACTCATGCGTTTGACGTTTTTCGCCTCAAATTAAACTTGAATTGACCATTATAACCCTGATCTTTGTTTACCTGTCATCCACGTGGGCATAAGATAAAGAAGCCAAAGAAATGAATCAAAACCACCACGCGCGTGAAGTACAGTCGCATGGCGCGTCAAGAAAACGTAAGGAGACGGAGAGTGATCCAAGAGCAACCGCACCGAACTGGCTACTGGCTGGCTACATGGCACACGAGTACCTCACGTGCGGTACTATGTTGGGCCGGAAGTTGTATCCTGGATGGGCCGAAGTTGGGCCGCACATAGAAGCGAAAAAGGCTCATCAGAGTTACTCTGAAGTGGCGACTGTGTTCAAAACAGATGGGAACCATGTCCCTGGTGTGGTTAACCCGACCCAGCTTGCTAAATGGATCCAGATGTGAACTACAATGCTATCATCATCATCATTATCATCATTGCCATTAAGACAGAAGCTTTCATTTTAATTTTTGGCATTTTAGTTTTTTTTTTTGTTAATGATAGTCTTGTTTGTGTGTCACACAAAAAGATTTGATAAATAATTGTAGACTTTGTTGTGTTTATCGTGTTATCAGCTAGTAATAGTTTTTTCAGACGTCATGAACGTACATTTTTACATGCCCTATGATTAATTTGGATCCCGCCCATTTACTTTTATAATGAAAGGTAAAATTGATTCATTCAAACCAATGCTGAATAGAATTTTCATAATCGTCAGACAGCAAAGAACATTAATAAAATGCAAATGAAACTAAAAGGAACCAAAACTAATAAATATGTTCTAAATGCATGACCTCTCTTTTTATTTTTTTTGTATATATTTACCTATTAGAGAATGTCTTACACAAATCATTTCTTGGTTTCTATCAAATTTCCAAGTTCTAGACCTTAATATTAAAGTCTTGTTGACCGTTGCAAGTTTCACAATTTAGCATATACTAGGATATGACCCGCGGTACACCGCGGGTTAATTTTTTTTTATTTTGATTTTGTTTTTATAAATTGATGAATTTGTTATGTGTAATATTTTTTGTTATACACTGCGGATCGATTTTTTGTAACTAAAAAAATTAAATTTTAGGTTGTATTTGTTTTGTTAAGTGTTTAAGATTTTATAATTGTATTTTGATTGTTAATTCTAGGATTTCACCCATGGTATACCGTCTCATATTAATATCGATCTAAACCCGTCTCACCATATAGTCCCGTCATGTGAAAATAAACATCATTTTGTTATTTTTATTTTCAATAATACTTTTTTCTAAAAGATCTATACTTCGAGTCAATTTTAAATTTTGCTTTCAAGTGGTTAATTTTTATAGAGTTCATCTATATTATTAATATTATAAAAATTTATAGAATTTGAATATTATAAATACTTTCAAAGTTTTTAAAATTTAAATATTTAATTAAAAATAATAATTAATCCGCGGTGTACATCAGATCAAATATGATGATATAGTGCTAATATAACAAATTTAAGCTAATTATCTAAAACCTATTTACCTAATTTAAACATAAATATATGGTTCTCCTTTCAAAAATAACAAAATTCATCTTCAACCCTCAATATAGTTAATGTTTATTTCGCATGATGTTCACAAAATCATTCTGCTTCGACATATCTAAAATTCTAATATTAATGATGTTCGTAAAAAATAAAATGAGGATTTAACCCGTATTGTAACGTTAATTTTTTTTAACATATTTAAATATTCACAATAGAAATTCCTTCTAATTGAAAGTCTTATTCTCCTGCCCGAGAACCCATTACTATGAAAGTATGAATCAATGCATTACAATTGACCAAACCCAAACTCAATTTCTTTAGTTAAGAAGGGCCATTTTAAAATTTTGGTTAAGCTTAAATACATTAGTGTAGTGTAGATAGCCCATAAAGGCCTTTAAATGAAATGATGAACAAAACCCATTATGTACACGAACGGAGTTCAAAGAGTGTGTATGCGATGTCGTGTCGGAGTTCAAAGGATGACAGCTTTATGTAGATCTTCTCTTCCTCTCTCTCTCTCTCTTGAGAAAAAAAGAAGATAAGCTTTGAAATCTCAGAAGAGGGTTCGTCTTCAACATGGAGATTCAATTCGATTTGATGTGTTTTAAGCATTTGCCTTGTAATCGTCCGCGTCTTCTTCCTCGGGCTCGCCTTTGATAAAAAAAGGACAAAGTTGTTGAATTGAACACAACCAACTTCGATTCAGTTCTTAAAGACACTCCAGCATAGGTAATTTAGTTTCTCTGAGTATATAGAAATTTATGTTTCTAGAATTGAATTTTGAATAGTTTATTCGTGTGTTTATGATCTCTTAGACTCTTAATTTGGTAATTAGACTCAAGTAATGATGCTGCAATCTAAGGGCATGTGAAAATTGTAAGAATGAGACGAAATATTGTTAAATGGTTCAAATATAGTGAATTTTGTTTTAGTTTATGGTCTCTTAGGTTGATGATTTTTGAATTCAATTCAATGTATAAGTTAAAGACTTACTTAGTTCTCGTTGGAAGTTTTGACTTATACATTCAAGAGTATAGTTATCTCGTAGATTCTTTAGTTTCGTGATTAGTAAAGTAAAGATATTGTAAGGTCATGTGAGAATTGTAAGCATAAGCTCAAATACAGCTAAACAATCTAAATGGAAGGAGTTCATGAATGTTATTATATTGATAGTTTTCTTCGTTTGGCTTTGTTTGACATAAATATTATCACTTTTATGTTTACATAATGTAAAATATGAATCCAAGTACTAATATAATATTTAGGCATGAGATAAAAAGAAAGATAAGAATAACAACATAGCAATGAAAAAGAGTGAACCAGACAGAAAAAGATTGATGAATCCTATCTTGGGATGATTGATTGGTAGAAATGTTCTCCACTTGCATAACTTCATCCGAAGTTTTCAATGGTTTTCTATTATCCTCGGGTTATCAGCTTTTCAAAGAGATTAACATATTTCTTTCTCACTGAAGCAAAAATCTTTTACTCTGTAAAAAAAAATTTGTGAGCATTTGTATATAATGTCGTAAAAAGAATAATCATACTATAGACTCAATTTTGGCATCTTACTTGCATATCAGCCAACACCATGTCCAACGTCTCACCAAATCTTATTGTGTATGATTTTCAGGTATGAAGGACCCTCACTTGCCATGTTATCTTGTAGGGTTTCACATCTCTGAGAAATACAAAGGAAGCCGCCATTGCTAGATTTAATGAATGAAGGAGTTTATTAAGAAATGAGGTAATTGCTTGATGATGTAGAAGATTGACTGAAGAGCGCTATTTATAGAGAACTTAGATGTCTAGGGTTGGTCAAAGTCGATTTGAGAAAATTCTTTGGGAGCAAGTAAATATCTAAGATACGGGAAACTAAAAATAGATTTTTAGGTTAATCACAATGAATGTAACAAAAGTTTAAGGGAAGATTACAATTTCGTGAAGTAACAATATAGATTCGATTGAATATGATGGAAGATTGTAGATAATTTTGTTTAGGAAATCTAATTTGATCGAATATGCTTTTAATTAGATACCAAAATTAAGGATTTGATAGGATTTGCATTTATCGTGTAATCTTTATATCATAAATCACATGTTTTTTTTAGAAAAAAAATAGAATTTGCACTAAACTCATTAGCACCTAAATAGGAAACGATTTACACCGAAAATATATGTTTGTTATAACTACTAAATCAATCATTTAATTTTGTTTGGATTTGTTTTGGAAAGTCTTTCCGGGTCAAAATTAATAGTCGAAATACTTGATTTTTTTTTGGAAAGTCTCATTTAAAAGAATCCGAGAGTTTTGATTGGTAGATGAGTCGGGTCAAAAAATCTAATCGGGTCAAAATCTTGCTAAAAACCCGACCCGATTGGCTTTGGCAAATTTGTACTTCAAAAATGTTAAGTAGATATCAAAAGAAAAATCTGGTCGTGATTGTATCAAAATTTGTTTTCTTTCTATCATACTTCTTTAACTAAAAGTTTATTTCTAGGGCATGAAAAGAATATTGTTCCAAGTAGAGAGAGAATATTTTTCCTTGAAAATACCTGCTATTTGACGACAAAAGATGTGTATTAAATAACATTTTTAAAGTGATATATGATATATAATTGCGTTCAGCCGCTCTCTCTTTTTCGCTTTAGTCGCTTCACTTCCGTTCAAGCTTTGGCCGGCGCGTGGTGGCTTTCAAAGCACCGGCGTCGGTCCATCTTTCTTACCTTCCGTCTCTAGTTTATGCTCTCTTTAGGCTGAGGTTAGTGTGGTGGTTCGACGAGTTTCTGAAGTCTTCCGATTTCAGATCTGCAACGTCTTGGACGGGGTTACTTTTAATTGATGGATCTGGAGTTTATCGGAGAGGTGGTGATGTCTCTACGTTTATTTTTGGATCTATGGGATCCTTTGCTACGGTGGTTGTTGATGGACATCCTCGACGGTATGGTCTCCTTCCCCTCCCTGTTCGGATCTGAACTCATGTGACTTAGTCTCGTTGGCCCATTGGACTACTTTAGGTTTTATTGTTGTTTGTAAGACTTATTTCGTTGGAGGAGGCTCTGTTGTGGGGTTTATTTGTGGATATGTGCTCTACCTCTCTATTGTGTCCTCTTGCTTGGTCGTGGTTGTGATTTGGGCTGGGTTCGTTTTTGGTGTTGACCAATCTGATGGAATTTTGCTGCTGAGCCACCTACTAGCCTGTTTTCCTTGGATATAGGTTCTGGGCAAAGTAGTGGAATCGTTCTCTAGCTCTTCTCTTACGAGGACGTCGTCAGTTTTTTGTCTGTAGGTGGCTGAAGCTGGTTCGACGAGTGTCCGCGTGTAAGAGCTGTTTTTCTTAATTGGTTTATCTCCGGTCGATCTTCAAGGTTTATGCCTTGTTCCTAGTGTGTTTTGCTCTCTACGTCTGGCTGGTGAGGTGTGATGGTAGTTGTATTTGTGTCTTTGGTCTCGGTGGGTTCTTGCTTTTCTCCCTGTCGGTTTGCTACTGGTTTGACTTCGGTGTGAGGTCTTCCGGTCTTATTGGTGCTTCAGACGTTAATAGGTTCTTTGGGAAGCTAGGTGAGACGCTCTGGTTCCTTTGTTCAAATAGTGCTTGGGTTTTATATTTTCCTTCGCAGTTCCTCTTCTTTACATATTTGTCTCTATCGTTTGCTTAAATGGTTGGTCTAAATTAGCTTCCCCGTTCTCTTGGAGCTTTGTTTCCCTTTTTTGGGCTAAGTTTCTAGAGACATTCTGTTCGTCTGCCGGCATATGTATTTCAATTTGTATCCTACTTTGGTTTCTTAATAAAATTTAAATGACAAAAAAAAATAACATTTTTAAAGTATATATAAAGATATTTTTCGAAGTCTATCTAAGTAACAATATTTTTTTAGTAAGGCCGAACGTTGTGGATATGTTTGCATTTTTTAATCAAATAATTGAAACTGATTTACTTGCATGATGAAAAGTGAAGACAAACAAATTTTCTTGCAATTAGCACCGAAATAAACACAAGTATTCAATATATTAAAAATAATATAATTATGAACCAATGCAAATGCGGTGGGAAGAAGGTAATATCGACCTCTAAAAACTAAGTGGGGGACATTGAAATTATATTTTTTAATAAGCAAAGATCAAAAGGGAAAATAAAAGGCATAAAATTTAATAAGCAAAGATTAAAAAAGACCTTCTTTTACTTTTCTTTTTAAATATCTCTTTTGAATTACATTAAAATGCATATATAATAGGGATTCTATATCTTTCCTTGCCATCAAAATTGATCTCGGTTACCATATTTGACGGATTTGAGACGACCTTATGGAGAAAGATCCATGGAGAAAAAGAGATCTAGGGTTTATAATGGTTGATGAGAAACGCAAAAAGAAATCAATGGAGAATAAGAAATCTAGAGTTTTGATGATGATGAAGAGATAAGAAGAATAGAGATCCATGGAGAAGAAGAGATAGAGAGAAAAGAGAAAAAAATCTGGAGAGAAAAATAAGAAGAAGAAGGAGGCGTGATAAAGAAAATGAGGCAGTTATGTTTTTGTAGTTTAGTTGTGGCAGTGATACGTAAATATTAGATTAGGGTAAGGGTTTTTAGACTTTTTCTATTAATTTCGATTTAAAAGAAAATGAAAAATAAAATTATAAACATGAAGGGGCATAAACGATTAGTTTTTTAGGAAAAGTGGCATAAGTGATAAAAATTCTAACGCAGAGTATTGCATCTGATCAAGTTAGGCATGTATGATGATATTGGTAGTGGGAATACATTAAAAAAACATAGAGGAAATTTATATTACAAAAACGGAGAGGAAATTATATATAAATATATATATATATATATAAATATATATATATATATATTTGGATGAATAAACAATAAAGTAGAGCCACGAGATCGCGCAGGAAGAGAGGAAAGAGGAAAATGAAATGATTGTTTCCAAAAACATAGAACATATGGTCAAATGAGGTGGCGAGGAGTTAGTTTATAAGAACTTAATTATATGAAGAAGATACGATTTAAGGCCCATCACAAAAGAACGGTCCACTAGAGTCAGATACACTAACCAAATTATCACCACTATATAATTGATAAAGCATATATATGATCACTAGTTGATATAAAGGTGTAACCAATAATCTTCGTTGATGTTACTTTTCAATTTTTTTCTCCCCTATGATTGCATTGGCCAAAATATATAACTTAGAACATTCACAGGCCAATTGATATTTTCTTTTCGTTTCTATTATGGCCTTGAATGGTTCAATAGTATGTTACATACATACCAACATTTTGGTATGGTGACATGCATATTTTGGTATGCACTAAATCATATAATAGTTTGCAGTAGAATTTATCACTTGAATGGTTAAAAACGTACTATAGTATGCAAAAGTGTTTATAAAAAACCAAAACAAATTTTAACAATTTTCTAATAATAATTAATAACATGTCTTTATAATAAACACTACAAAATATTTTTTCAAAATTATAAATCAAAATATATTATTTTGATTTTCTCATAACATATAGGCAATATTTTCTCGGATATTTGCCATATATTATATATCTTGTCTCTCGACCTCCTGTCGTTCATTTGAGTCATTTTGCTCGTTTTCAGTATACACTTCTGAAGAATCTTCAAAAAATCAGAATCTGGAAAATTTGAAACTCTTATAAAGTTGTGGAGTCCCATCGTGGCGATTATTACTCTCTTCTGTACTTCCAAACCATATCTTGGATCATCTCTAAGAATCCTCCACTTCTTCTTCCATACTCCAAAAGTCCGTTCTATAATGGACGTAAAGATGCATGAGACCTATTAAATAACTCTTCGTTATTCGTTGGCGGAGGCCCATTGTTGAACTGTGATAAGTGGTATCTCAGAACTCGATTGATTCCGTGTTGATGGTCACATATGTGTAATCAATTCCATCACTCCAAACTAGAGAATTATACAACAAAAAATTTTAAAATACCTTTTCAAACTTCATAGTTCAAAAGAAATCCCACTAATTCTCATTTACAGGGCCGGCCCATGGCTATAAAGCCAATAAAGCAAGGGCTTTAGGCAGCAAATAATTATAAGTAGTTTTAGGGACATCATTTTTGAAAATGTTATTATAGTCTAGTGGTTAGTTTGTAACGTTTTGTTGTACATGTCACGATTTCGAATCCCAAAAGTTTTTGTTAATGAATCTACTATAAACTAAAGAATTTTACAAAAAATATCTAACAATATCCTTTCAAACTTCACTAATAACTCTCAAATATCTACTATAACTAAAGATTTATACAACAAAAAACTAAAAATATCTTTTCAAATTTCACTACCAAATCTAAAAATCTTTTCAAACTTCACAACTTCAAAAACCTTCCACTAATTCTCAAATTTCTACTATAAACTAAACTATAAAAATTTGAGATGAGGAATTGAACTTACTTATATGAATTTGAGATGAAACAAATGGTTGATTCAAAGAGAAAAAAGAGAGTCACTTTCTAAGATCTAAGAGAGTTCTCTCTTCTTCTTTTTTTTTTTTTTTTGGAATAAATGATTGTTTTTGTGAGTTTTTACAATTGTGAATGATCATATATATAAATGTTTTTCAAAGGTACAAAGAAACACAAGTTTAACCAATGAGAAAAAAGTACTCGGATCCAACTAGTTAAAGAAACACACTTTTGTCTCATTTTTTCTATTGGTATGAAGTTGGTATAGAGTTAGTATGGAGCTTGTAATGAGTAAACCAAAAAGTAATAGAATTGACACGGTATGGAATTTTCTTTGAAGTGCATACTAGTATAGAGTTTATTAGTCCGGAGTGTTGCATACTAGTCCAATTTGTTGAATGGTATATTCAGTACAGACTAGTCCGA